CTATCCTAAAACCTTTGTTCCCAAACTTACTGAAGTTGCTAGCACCAGTGACATCTCCATTCCCTAAAGGCTGTTCCTCAAGACCTGATTGAGGCCTTTTTTGTATCTCATGCTATAATTTGCTCTCAGAGGCTTCAGTTAAATCAATGGTTTTTAACTTAGCTGGGTGTCATGGGCCTTTCTACAATTTAATGAAAGCCATGGATCCATTCCTGAGAAAAATGAAGCATCGATGATATAAAATATATTATATATACAAATTATAAGTATATAAACCTATGTGTGTGTATTCCACTCACTTTCAGAAGGGATTCACAGATTACCTGGTAGCATACCACTAGCCTGAGGCTAAGAGCTTCTCATCTGAATTCGTCCTCTATGCCCTGCCTACCTGGATGCCCCACAGGCCCTTTAATGGCCACTTGTCCCCATATAGTTTCATTGCCTCCCCCCAAGTCTATTTTCCTTCCTCTTGTGTTTCCATGCTTCTATTGACACCAAACTGCACATAAATGTCAAAGACAGATTTTCCTCAAGGTTGGAACTTGAACTGAAGTCCTAGCATGTGTCTGAAGTCACTTTACAAAAAGTGGATCTTGCCTTTGAACAGAACTTTCACTTAGCAGTTAGAGGATGTTCTAGCATTCTGGACACCTACTCATTATGACTAGGAAACTCAAGAAGTTTTTTAAAAATTATTTTTTTTTCCTTTTTGTTTTGTGAAGAAACCAGCCTGGACACACCCCCTATTCAGAGGAGGGATTAGCCCCATTGTTGAGGGTTAATCTCTCAACCTTGTGTGGACTCTGCCTCCCAGCTACAACTATTCATCAGAGCTGCTCTTGGTCATCATAACTGCTGCTTCTCCACAACCCTCACAAGTATGAAGAAGTAGCTCCACTAAATTGAAAAAGAAAGTTGCAAGGATGATATCACCTGGTACTAATTAACTGACCACTCACTCAAATATACTTTCACTACCAAGCTCCTGAGATGTGCAAAAGGAAGAGGGAATATTTTGCTGACCAGATGCAGACAGGTGGATAGAATAGTTTCTGTACCTCAAATTGTTCTCCCTCTCTCTCCTTCTCCCCTCCATCCACCTCCCTGCCCATTATTGGCACAGGCTGAAGAAGCTGAAGACTGCCACCTTTGTCAAAGATCAAGGGGCATCTCGGGGTACTCTGAGAGATGTGGACATATGGTTTGCCTTGCCGGGGACTCCACAGCATAGATCCCAAGAAAAATTTCTAGAAACAGGGTATTAGGGGATTGTCAGGGCAAAGCCAAGGTAAAACTCAGAAACTGATCTCCACTGGGACCAGATAGAAGAGAGAGCCAAGATTCTTCAGAGGATAAAAGGAAATCAAACTGAAGAAACTCCTGAGTTAAAATGTCCATCAGATGTCAAAAAATAGCAGTTCCAAACAGGGCCCCAAATTTTTGGCGGGCACAGTGTATTAACGTTTTTCTAATTAAATGCCAACATTTAGAAGTTGAGATATTTCACGTCAAAGTCCAAATTCCAGCATTCTAGAAAACTCAAAAGGAGGCTGCTTTCTAACATGGCAGCGCTGGCCAGCTCTGAAACCCACCACTGCTGTCAGGTTGTGAACACCAGCCACTGTCCCTGTGGCCCATGTGAATCATTTGCTTTAGTCACCTGGCCCTACAGTCACTTGATTTTCCATGCACAAGGTTAAATGGCTCTCCCAGTTTTACTACTATGTTCATGCCTCTGAGTTGGATAAACTGAAGCAGTTACAAAGGGGAAATGAGGTGGACAATCTGTCCTGTGGGTTTTGCTTCAGTGTCTTTCCATGAAACACAAGAGTTTACTGTGTAACTAGACAACCTCTCGATAGTGTTTCATAAACCATTGTTTTTTATTATAAATTAAAATATGTTCTTTAATATCATTCATTGGATTTTGAGATAACTGTTTATTCTTTATTACATAAAGCACTTACTATGAGCCAATCACTCTTCTAGGCTCTAGAAATACTTCAGAAGATAGGTGCTCCTCTTTTAGAACCAATTTATTGAGGAGAGATAGATAAGAAACAAATATCATTATTACATTGAGTGATAAATGATATGAAACAAATTAAGCAAGGTAATGTGAGGAAGGGCTGCTTCAGACAGGGCTAGACTTTCTAATCAATTAACTATTTTTTTAACATACAGAAAAGTGATAAGACACATACACCCACCCCACCCCCCAAAAATCACACACGCGTCCTGTCTTCTAGATGCTCTCAAAGGCTAGTTTTAGTAACTGCATCTTGCTTTTATTTTATTTATTTATTTATTTATTTTGGGGTGAGTATTAACTTTTTTTTTATTAACATAATGTATTATTTGTTTCAGGGGTACAGGTCTGTGATTCATCAGTTTTACCCAATTCACAGCGCTCACCATAGCACATACCCTCCCCAATGTCCATCACCCAGCCACCCCATCCCTCTCACCTCCCCCAACTCCAGCAACCCTCAGTTTGTTTCCTGAGATTAAGAGTCTCTTATGGTTTGTCTCCCTGTCCCATTTTGTCTTGTTTCATTTTTCCCTCCCTTCCCCTATAATCCTCTGTCTTGTTTCTCAAATTCCTCATATCAGTGAGATCATATGATAATTCTTTCTCTGATTGACTTATTTTGCTTAGCATAATACTCACTAGTTCCATCCACATCATTGCAAATGGCAAGATTTCACTTTTGCATCTTGCCTTTAAAGCAAAGATTATATTGGGGCACCTGGGTAGCTCAGCCAATTAAGTGTCCAACTCTTAAGCTTGGCTCAGGTCATGATCTCAGGGGTCATGAGATGGAGCCCTGCATGGGGCTCCATGCTGAGTGTGGAGCCTGCTTAAGATTCTTTCTCTCCCTCTCCCTCTGCCCCTCCGCCCAACCCTGGCTCACTCTCTCTCAAAAAATAAATTAAAAAAATAAAATAAAACAAAGCAAAGGGTATACAACAGAAAGAGAAGTGGAAGGGCAGGTAATTATGCAGATAGTTCAGAGATTCACTGGGCTGTCTGCTGAAACCCTTAGGTGACTAGTTGAGAGCAGCCAACTTAATTGATCTCTCAGTATTCTGGAGTAAACATTGTTAACCTCCTGTCTTGTTGCTTAGACAATGAGATTATTTCTGTGATGTGTGGATGTTGCTTTGTTACTAAGTAACCATGAGTATCCTATCCTATTCATCTTTCAATCACTTATTTCCCCATGTGAGAAAATTTTCTCTGTGGAGATAAATTAAGGGTCTTTTTATTCATTACTCTCTCAAGCTCTCCCTGTTGAGTTTAATACAATGTGAAAATGAGTATCAAGCAATAAAATAAACATCTTTTTAACTGGAGATATTTTTAATCAATCCCTGTAGGTTTTAAATATATATGTGTGTGTGTGTATATATATGGCATAGAATACATTTCTCAGGCACAGTAGTCATCTGTGGGAATGCTTAAAATCTAATGTCATAGAACTCCATCTGAAATAATTTATCTTATGAAACCATACTAATCATGAAGTCCCTTTAGGCTATTTTCTTTATTTCAGCCACACATGTCTCACCATTAAGTTCTTACTTGTCATTATTCAATAGCCTCTTCTCTTTTATAAAAATAGCACTCCAGCTCTTAGATGATTATGAGCAAAAACTACTTCATTTTTCCAAATGTTGTAAAGATTATAATTACTATGTTAAGTGCAATGAACTAAAAATATGGTATTCTTCTCATTCTTTATTACATAGCATTATTGCAAAATTCCATTCTGCCCCTCCCATGTTTTTTTTAAACATAATTATTTGTCTTTGCCCATAAGCAAAATAAATAAAACTAAAAATTGAAAATCTAGTTTCACACTATTCCTGAAGCCAAAGGGCATTTTTGAGCTTGTTTTTCTGATGGATAAAGGAGTATGTATGTTTACATACATAGACAGGATATGGGAGTTATGGGAGAGACCAAAGGTGCTGCAAAATAAAAGCCCTGGCTAGTGCAGACATACTTGCATCTGTGATACCAACACAAAGGTGGGAATGAGTAGAGCGAAGTCAATGACTGTACTGAATATGCCCTGCTTTGTCTACTTCAAAAAGATGGGGGGGTGTCTGGGTCGCTCAGTTAAATGGCTGACCTTGGCTCAGCTCATGATCCTGGAGTCCTGGGATCGAACCCCACATAGGGCCCTACACTCAGCAGGGAGTCTGCTTGTCCCTCTCTCTCTCTCCCTTTGCCCCTTCCCTCCACCCCCACTTATGCTCTCTCTCTCAAATAAATAAATAAAATCTTAAAAAATAATAATAAATAAAAGTATGAGGTTTTCTATCATTTTATTGTAGGTTTCTCATTTTTTCATTGTTGTTTTTACATGAAACTATTTTAATGTATCAGGATATGTTGTTAAATTCTAAACAGAGAGCACCTGGTTGGCTTAGTCAGTAGAGTATGAGACTCTTGATTGCAGGGTCATGAGTTCGAACTCTAACACTGGGTGTAGAGATTACTTAAAAAAAAAATTCTAGGGGCGCCTGGGTGGCTCAGTTGGTTAAGCGACTGCCTTTGGCTCAGGTCATGATCCTGGAGTCCCGGGATCGAGTCCCGCATCGGGCTCCCTGCTCAGCGGGGAGTCTGCTTCTCCCTCTGACCCTCCTCCCTCTCGTGCTCTCTGTCTCTCACAAATAAATAAATAAAACCTTTAAAAAAAAAATTCTAAACAGAGCATCCAGGCAACCCCTATATTCTTCTAACTCCATGACACATTTCTCTCCTCTTTTTATTTAAGACAGCACTACCATATGTTCAAACTTCAAAAAGATAGGAATTTTCTTAGGAGACTAGTTAGCTGTCTAAAAAATACATATTTATACATATATACATATATAATAATCATATCTCAATAGTATAACCTCTGCTACAAATAAATTCAATTCAAAGAAAAACACAGATTTTTCATATTTCAGTTTTAATAAAATTCATATTTCAAATTGGTGCAATTAAAGACAAATTCTGAATAAATGTATTTAAATATTATTAAAAAGGGTTACAAAAGTGGACTTCATACATGATTATTCAACAAGCATATTACTTAAATCATATACCAAAAATCATTTCTCACCGGCACTCTCAGACATAATTTACATAATTATATATTTAATCCATACCTATATGGAACATTAACCATGTAAGAAAATAATATATATCTAAGGTGCCTGGGTGGCTCAGTCAGTTAAGCGTCTGCCTTCGGCTCAGGTCATGATCCCAGGGTCCTGGGATCGAGTCCTGCATCAGCTTCCCGCTCAGCAGGGAGGCTGCTTCTCCCTCTCCCTCTGCCTGCCGCTCTGCCTACTTGTGCTCTATCTCTCTGTCAAATAACTAAAATCTTAAAAAAAAGAAAAAGAAAATAATATATATCTAGCAAAAATAAAAGAATATCATACTTTTTAATATTCTATATACGTTGTGTGATTTAAACTTTGTTTTTTAAAAATTTCAAATTACTCTGTACACAAAGATAAACCAAGAAAGACTGCTCTGTAAGAAAAGACACAAATAATCAGTTATTTCTGAGAAGTCTCTTATTTTACTCATCTTAATACACCATAAAGTTAGATACTTCATCTCTTTGCACAGTTAATATGATTCCAGGCACTTTTTTCTTCAAATCAGATTTACATTCTTAAGAAATGTCTGTCAGGGGGAAGAAGAAAAATGTCATTTATATTCTGGTTTTTAATGTACTTAAAATATGCATAGTTTTAATATAGTAATATTTTATTTTATTTTGCTGAAAGAATCTGTGGGCTCAATTTATAATCTAATCCTGAGAATACAAGTTAATGGGTGTGTGGAGGGATAGAAGCGTCAATCAGTACTTTTAGATACTTTAAATGATGACTTCCCCTTTAAAGTTTTTGATATCTAAATAAGCCAAAAATGAACTTGGCATCACCTAAGTAACTTATAAATATTCTTAAAATTTATTAATCTGTAATACTGTGTTTCTAATACCTTGCTAAATAAATAATTAGAAACAGATACTCCTATAGAGAAAATCACTAAATCTCTTACTCTGCAATTTCTAAGGGGAATATTTATCAGCTCTGTCTTCTATGAATCTAATCCCAGGAGAATGTAACTTTACATGCAATATTTGGAACCTCCTGTCTCCTGTAGTGCTCCTGTACAGCACTTGTTTTTGAGAACTTTTGCAGTTATTATGTTGTTTTTGGACTTTATGTAAATTTACTCATTCACATAAAATACATTAAAACAAAGAAAGATAAATGTGTCTTGATTTAGATCGCTTCAGTAGCCTAATGAATTTTCTTTATTCATGTTTTATATTATTCAAAAGGTTTGAGATAGACTGAGAGTTATTAATTCAAATATTTTGCCACTGAACATTAAAATGATCTTCTCTTAATCTAAAAAAAAAAAAAAGAGAGGGGCACCTGGGTGGCTCAGACGGTTGTGCGTCTGCCTTTGATTCTCAGGTCATGATCCCAGAGTCCCGGGATCGAGTTCCACATCAGGCTCCCTGCTCCGTGGGGAGCCTGCTTCTCCCTCTGCCTCTGCCTCTCTCTCTCTCTCTCTCTTTCATGAATAAATAAATAAAATCTTATAAATAAATAAATAAATAAATAAATAAATAAATAAATAAATAAATAAGAGAGAGAGAATTTGGGGGGACCCTGGGTGGTACAGTTGGTTAAGCATCCAACTCTCAGTTTCGGCGCAGGTCATGATCTAAGGTTTGTGAGATCCAGCCCCAAATTGGGCTCCATACTCAGTGCAGAATCTGTTTCAGACTCTCTCCCTCTCCCTCTGCCCCTTCCTGCTGCACTCTCTCTCTAAAATAAATAAATCTTTAAAAAAGAGGGAAAGAGAGAATTTTTAAAATTTTGCAACTGTAAATATGCAGAATTAAAAGTACCAATTATTATTGTTATTTTATAATTGCTTTTTAAGTAAGAATACAGGGACCCCTGGGTGGCTCAGTCGTTAAGCGGCTGCCTTCGGCTCAGGTCATGGTCCCAGGGTCCTGGGATCGAGCCCCGCATCGGGCTCCCTGCTCCGCGGGGAGGCTGCTTCTCCCTCTCCCACCGCCCCCGCTTGTATTCCCTCTCTCGCTGTCTCTCTCTCTGTCAAATAATAAATAAATAAAATCATAAATAAATAAATAAATAAATAAATAAATAAATAAGAATATAAATAGCAACAACAAGAAGTCAGGGTTGTCTTAGTAATTGGCACAATGAACCTGTGAGATGAGTTAAGTAAATTCCCATGCAGTTACTTGGAGTAGGTTGTTACATAGGCCAAATGGAGATACTCGTAGATACTTTTATACTACACAAATTCCCTGACTTCCATTTCTACTCCCACAAGCTGTGAAAAACTGTTTCTTTAAAGGGACTTGTCCGTGGTGCTGAAACACTGACCCAAAAAAACGTGTTGGCTTTGCTCTGCCCTGGGAAAGAACTACTGAGTAGAAAAATCCCCGGGGGCAGGGGTAGAATATCTTTCAGTCTCTTGTATAGAGTCTACTTTTGCAAATAAATTTTATATTTTTCATTAGATTTATTTAGGTTATCCAAATACTTTATTGCCCTAGGGCTCCTAGGGTAATTTAGCCAGAATGAAAATTCTGACTTATGATTTCACTCTGGCAAAGTATATGTGAGAGCTGGTGATGATTACATACTCATCATATTTTTGATCCCTTGCTTTTTCCTTTACTCTTCCAATACTTTCTCTCTTTTAGTTCATGTATCCTGCATAAACAAAAATTTTAGAACCCAGTGCTACTTTTATTATATCTTTTGACCAGTTAAAAAAAGGTAGAGCTTTAGTTTTGTTCATCTAATGTCTATCTGCATAAGGTTTCTGCACAATAATTATATAACCCCAAAAGTTGAAATATTTTTAAAAATCACTCAGGACTGGTAAGGCTGCCAAAAAGCTGTTTATTTTACTTAATTTAATCACTGTTGAGGGCATTTTTAATTAATTCAATAAAGCAATCTATGCATTTAGACCAAGCTTTAACACTAAGTGAAAAATCCACAGATTAAGTTCATTAGGTGTTGCTAAAATCAGCTACCTGGCTTTTTAAATAGTTCAAAATTTCTTAAGAAAGTTAACTTATTAAATAGAATAAGAAAAATAAATAAATACATACTCATAAGGCAAGTCTTCTAGGTCTGTGAGCACAGGGGACTCACTGCTAATCTTGTTAGCAATCTAGCACATCTCTTGTAATCTAGAAAAAATATTTAAGGTCAAATTATGTATATAGTTACCACAAATGTGGGGAAAACCATATTATTATTGTCACTAATTAATAACGAGAGCTAAGATTTAATAAGCACCCAACATAACAAATGCTTAACCTGGGTTTTCTCATTAATTCTCGTAACACAATTAAGTAGATGTTACTGTTCCCTCACTTTAGAGACAGAGATGAAAAACCAACATCCAAATGTCAAGAATCTCGTAACTAGTGAGTAGCTTGAGTTCAAAGAGTAAGCTTTCTCCACTATGCTGTGCTACCACTTAGTAAGTTTGCTTTGACTCCAGTGTGATTAATTTCCCTTAGTCATTGAACACAAGCAGTTTTTGAAAAAATTAAAACAATTCTGATTCCACATCCTGAGTAAAATTAAACATGCTTCAAGATGACCAATCTAGACATCGCCCACAGCAACTTCTTTCAAGACACATCTCCAAAAGCCAGTGAAACAAAAGCAAAAATGAACTTTTGGGACTTCATCAAGATAAAAAGCTTCTGCACAGCAGAGGAAACAGTCAACAAAACAAAGAGGCAACCCACAGAATGGCAGAAGAAATTTGCAAATGACACTACAGATAAAGGGCTGGTATCCAAGATCTATAAAGAACTTCTCAAACTCAACACCCAAAAAAACAAATAATCAAGTCAAAAAGTGGGCAGAAGATATGAAAAGACACTTCTCTGAAGAAGACATACAAATGGATAACAGACACATGAAAAAATGTTCATCATCATTAGCTATCAGGGAAATCCAATTCAAAACCACATTGAGATACCACCTTACACCAGTTAGAATGGCAAAAATGGACAGGGAAAGAAACAACAAATGTCGGAGAGGTTGTGGAGAAAGGGGAACCCTCTTACACTGTTGGTGGGAATGCAAGTTGGTACAGCCACTTTGGAAAACAGTGTGGTTTCCTCAAAAATTTAAAAATAGAGCTCCCCTATGACCCAGCAATTGCACTCCTGGGTATTTAGCCCAAAGACACAGATGTAGTGAAAAGAAGGGCCATATGCACCCCAATGTTCATAGCAGCAATGTCCACAATAGCCAAACTGTGGAAAGAGCCGAGATGCCCTTCAACAGATGAATGGATAAAGAAGATGTGGTCCATATATACAATGGTATATTACTCAGCCATCAGAAAGGATGAATACCCAACTTTTACATCAACATGGATGAGACTGGAGGAGATTATGCTAAGTGAAATAAGTCAAGCAGAGAAAGTCAATTATCATATGGTTTCACTTATTTGTGGAACATAAGGAACAGCATGGAGGACATTAGGAGAAGGAAGGGAAAAATGAGGGGGGGGGAATTGGAGGGAGAGACTATGGACTCTGAGAAACAAACAGGGTTTTAGAGGGGAGGGAGGAGGCGGGATTGGTTAGCCTGGTGATGGGTATTAAGGAGGGCACGTACTGCATGGAGCACTGGGTGTTTCACAAAAACAATGGATCGTGGATCACCACATCAAAAACCAATGATGTATTGTATGGTGACTAACATAACATAATAAAATTTAAAAAAAAAAGATGACCAATTAGTTAAAAAGAAACAAAATACTTAAAATCCATTTACCTTAAAAGGGAAGTTTAGGTTTAGAAAGGAATTTAAAAACAGCCAACTGAGTTACCACACATGATCCCAATTTGGGCAGTTTTGATGATAGCGTTTAAATATTACATTTGAAATTATTAACTTTGGTAACTTAAGTGTCCAAAAGAATTCATTAGAGCCACCTTTAAAACACTATGCTACCATTATTCAGAACAATCGATCACTCATTGTATAAATGATATGAAACTATTTACTTTAAAATAACTTAAGAGGAAATTTTGACTTATTCTTCATGGTCATCTTATTTTTTTTTTCATTTATATGACAGAGCCCTTTATGCCAAGGAATTTGAAAAATGATAAAAGGTTTAAATCCTGACAAACATTTCAGTCCTTAAGGAAATCTGGCTATTTTCAGATTTGGATATAGTCCCAATTACAATGCAGTTCCATTCCTTGCACTCTGAAAGCAGACACAAGTCTTCAGTTAAGTACTGTCAGTGTTATAAATAGAATCTCATACAATGTTTAGTCTATTCCCAGCCGCCGACAGTTGAAGTTTAAAATTACATGCATTTATTGTTGGGTAAAGATTTTTTTTTAATGAGGAAAAAAAACCCAAACTATCCAAACTACTTACAAGCTGGTGTTGAGCAATCCCTGGTGTTGTGATAGAGTCGATGGAAATGTTTGCTACATTCAGCTGAAAATGTGACTGGCCCTATTAGACAGGAAAAGAACGTTTATGATAAATATTGGCATATTTTCCAAACAAATTTGCTAGCACTTTATGGATGGAACTAATACAACTGTAACTTAACGTCCTTCCATGCCCTTAAAAGAACTTATCTGACTCCTTACCCTAGCTCTGTAGGACTTGGTAAGTTGTAATCTGTGAAAAATCATCTGAATTCATTACCAATTTTCACCATTTCACATAATGGAAACTTCAGTTTCTGAAGAACTCTTTAGAATAATTATGAGGGGGAAAGCTCTAGACAGAAAAAAAAAATTGTACAAACAAAACCAAGTAGGTGTGAAGAATAAAAAATAAATATCTTTGGTTCCCACTTTCTGTTCTTCAGTTTTAGGATTCTTCACAATATGACTCCAACCTGCATTTCCAGGCATACTTTTGTCCAGTGGCCACATACACCCTTACCTAAACATACCCCACAGTATGCCCCCAAACTACCATGTTCTCGAAGAATTCCTTCTGACCAGAATGCTTCTCTTATCCAGGAAAATACTATTCATCCCTTAGAGCCCAACTTAAATATCATGTCTACTACAAGCCTTTCCTGGTAGTTTTTGGCAAAATTATTCACTTTCTGTGCATCCCTAAAACTGTATTTACACTTCTATTATTTACCAAGATCTGGTTTATATTACTATTAATACAAGTTAATGGCATTTGTCCACTTTCCTAACTGGACTGTTGAGCTTCTTACGGACACTTACCTTCATATCCCTAATGCCTAACACAGTAATTTGCATACAATCTTTTTATTTAATTGAATCACTGATAAATTTTGTGCTTACCTGTGAAATGCTTTATGAATTTGTCTTTTAAATTCAAATCTCTTGGGAATATTTCTGAAAAGAAAAAAAACTTTAGAATTTCTTGGATGCATTTCCACCATTAAAAAGAATTTCTTGGATACATTTCCACCATTAAAAATATCCTTATAAATAGTCTATAATGACAACCACCTAACACATGAACTCATGGCAGTTCATGCAGCTGATTCCCAATCTGTATCTCTGGCCCTGAGCATTCCCTGGGGCTCCAGGCCTCCCCCAGACCTACCTGCTTGCTCTACCATTCTAATCGGGAAACTTATAGACCTCTCAAAAGTGAATAGCCAGAACTGAACATCTGATTTCCCCAATACGCCAGACCTGTCTTCCCCCCATGTTCCCTGGTCTCATACACGGCATCACTCTTTACCCTTTGCTCAAGCCAGATGTCAAGAAGGTATGCTTGACTTTCCTCTTTCCCTCTCTACTATGTAAACTTCATTATTTAATTTTATATATTCCAACTCCAGAAATTACCCAAGACTCATATATTTAAATAAGTGAAAATAAAAAATTGAACTACATCTCACACTTCACTTTGTACTCACTATAAGTACACCATCAATGAGGGGTAAGAGCGCTTCCTTGCATAGGGAGCTCCCTGCTCCTAGCAGCCCAGTTGTGAGTCCAGAGCAGCACTATAGGGCTATAGAAGTGCAGCTAGATTGGAGCTCCCCTTCCACGGACAACAAACATCTGCACTTATGAACCATCCAAACTAATCCAGAAAAACAAAGCAACAGTGAAGATATAAGTATTTCTTTATATAAATATTTTGGTGTTCTCGTTAATTACATTCCAGCCTGAACATGGGTCTTTCCCCCATACCTCTCTGAAACCAAGCATGGCAAATTGGCTCCTGGGATGTCAATACTCCACAGTTTATCTGGCAAGGTAGCTCCTCTGGCCCTTTCTGAAAGCTGAGTCAGTTGAGTGCAGTTGGAGTTCTATGGTTAAAGCGTATTCGAAGTCTATAAATAATTCTAGTTCCAAAAGCATTTTCAGCTATGATTTTTTTAACATTTTAAATTTAAGTTCAATTAATTAACATATAATGTATTTTTGGTTTCATAGTAGATTTCAGTGATTCATCAGTCTTATATAATACCCAGTGCTCATTCTATCACTGCCCTTCTTAATGTCCATCACCCAGTTACCCCATCCGTCCACCCCTCTCCCCTCCAGTAACCCTCAGTTGATTTCTTATGATTAAGAGTCTTTTATGGTTTGTCTCCCTCTCTGGTTTCATCTTGTTTTATATTTTCCTCTCTTCCCCTATGACCCTCTGTTTTGTTTCTTAAATTCCACATATCAGTGAGATCATATGATAATTGTATTTCTCTGATGATTTTAATCTGTAGACCTGGGCACAATGATGACACTCAGGATGATACTCCTCTTCTACACTCCCATAGCACATTTTCTAACTTCTATAAAGGCAATTGTCACATTATGATTAGCATGGTAGTGAACTGTGCACGAGTCTGTCTCCACCACAATATTGTGACTTCTTGAGGAAAGGGACAATGTCTTGTTCATCACCTGTAGGGTGTACAACAGTGCTTTACAGATGGGTCATCTGACAAATGTTTAAGGAATTAAAAGCTGAGAGGATGATCCTTTCAAATGAAAACAATCAATGCCTTGCTTGAGCTCAGTATAGGCCACTAGGAAAACCATACTTTTAATACACTTGAATTTTCATTTCCAAGTACAAACACAATGTAAGAACATAAAGCAGATTGACTTAAATGAAACAGAAAAGTGATATTTAAGTTGACACCTGAAGTGATAAGCAAGAGATATCTAGGTAAGAAGAGATGGGAACAGCACCCTAGACCAAAAGAAAGAAAGAAAGAAAGAAAGAAGAAAGAAAGAAAGAAAGAAAGAAAGAAAGAAAGAAAGAAAGAAAGAAAGAAAGAAAGAAAGAAAGAGAGAGAGAAAAAGAGAAAGAAAGAAAGAAAGAAGAAAGAAAGAAAGAAAGAGAGAGAGAGAGAGAAAGAGAAAGAAAGAAAGAAAGAAGAAAGAAAAAAGAAAGAAAGAAAGAAAATCTCTGAAGAGGAAAAGGTCACACTGTGTTCAAGTATTTGAGAACTGTCCAGGATGGCTAAAAGAGAAAGAAGGTGAGGGAAAGAAAAGTCAGCTAAAGCAGCAGACAAAGGCACCTGGGTGGCTCAATTGTTTAAGTGTCTGCCTTGGGCTCAGGTCATGATCCCAGGGTCCTGGGGTTGAGTCCTGCTTTGGGCTCCCTGCTCAGCAGGGAGTCTGCTTCTCCTTCTCCTTCTACCCCTCCTCCCCTGCTCATGCTTGTGCTCTCACTTTCTCTCTTAAATAAATAAATAAATAAATAAATAAATAAATAAATAAATAAATAAGCAGGCAAGCAGCAGACATAGATGACATTATAGTCCTTTATAAACTTTGTCCTTAATTCTATGAGTGGTGGGAAGTCAAAGAATTAGGCAAGGGATGACACAGTCAAGATTCACTTTTAAAAAATCATAAGGCCCAGTATGGAGAAACAAGCATAGATGGAGAAAGATAAGTCAAAAGGTTTAAAGATAGGCTATTGTATTTCTAATGAATAGCACTAGCTTCAGAAGTCAAATTCTGCTCTATGGCTGTGTTTGCAAAGAAAGTTTTACTGGGACACAGCCATGCTCATTTGTTCACGAGTGGTCTATGCCTGCTTTCGTGTTATAATGCAAAGTTGAGTGGTTGCTGCAGAGATTAGAGAGCCCACAAAACCCAAAATATTTGCTATCTGGCCCTTTCTAGAAAGAGTTTGCCAATGCCTGGTTGGTAGCACACTCGATTTTGTATTACAACTGTAACGGTGATTGCGAAAGGCTCCAAGAGGTAGGATTCTGGGGCTGGGAGAGAAGAGGTAGTAGTTTTCAATGCATACTCATTATTAATTTTAATTTTGAACATAAATCTTTATTACTTTTTCAATAAAAAAATAGTTGATTGAAACTGAATTTGCATTTAGTGTTAGATGCCCCTGTGATAGTTTTTGATCAACAAAATATTACTTGAGAAATCGAATATAAGAGAATTACCCCCACCCAAGATTAGCTGATTGATCTTTGGTGGAAAATGGTCTTAAAAAGCAATCTTCATTATAGAAATATAAGTCACATATGTAATTTCAAGGTTTTTAGTAACCACATTTTTTTTAAAGATTTTATTTATTCATTTGAGAGAGAATGAGATAGAGAGAGCATGAGAGGGGGAGGGTCAGAGGGAGAAGCAGACTCCCTGCCGAGCAGGGAGCCCGATGCGGGACTCGATCCAGGGACTCCAGGATCATGACCTGAGCCGAAGGCAGTCGCCCAACCAACTGAGCCACCCAGGTGCCCCAGTAACCACATTTTAAAAAGTAAAAAGGAATAGGTAAAATGTATTTAATAATTCATTTTGCTTAACCGAATATATTCTAAATGTTATCATTTCAACACATATTCCATACTTTAAAACTATTAAGACATTTTACATTTTTTTATACTAAGTTTTCAAAATCCAAAGTGTATTTAACAATTATAGCACATCTCAACTTGGACTAGCCACACTGTGAGTGCTCAATAGCGACATGCATTGGGTGGCTACCATGTTGGACAGCACAAGCCTCAAAAGCATGCTTCATTCTTTTGGTATCTAACTACAAGGTATAAAAGATTACATATACAGATGGATTAAAAACAAAAGGATCTCCCCATAATGCGTGACAAGTATCCCAAAACTACTATCTCATTCATCTAATTTGTGAAAAGTTCTAGTTTTTATTTAACCAAAACAGTTGCCAACTGCCATCATCATCAGTTTTAAGTTTACAATAATATTTTTATGAAGAAATAGATAAGCATATACATATATGTATATAAATGCTGACAGGCTTATCTCTTGTTCCTACTTTTCTTGTTCAAAATGAGCAGAGATCATGCTCACCTCTGCAGCACATATATTAAAATTGGAACAATACAGAGAAGATTAGCATGGCCCTTGCGCAAGGATGACATGCAAATTCATGAAGTGTTCCATATTTTTAGTCAGTCAGAGAAAGACAAGTACCATATGATTTCACTCATATGTGGAATTTAAGAAACATAACAAATAAGCAAAGAGGAAAAAAGAAAGAGAGAGAGGCAAACCAAGAAACAGACTCTTAACTATAGAGAACAAACTGATGGTTAACAGAGCGGAGGGGGTAGGGGACTGGATGAAGTAGGTGATGAATATTAAGGAGTGCACTTGCTGTGAAGAGCATGGGGTGATGTATGGAAGTGTTGAATCACTACATTGCACACTTGAAACTATTATTACACTGTATATTAACTAACTGTAATTTTTTTAGAAATATATTCTTTATTTAGCATATTGAGGACTACAAAAGGAGTAAGTATATATATATATTTTTTTGACAGTCTGACCACTTTTTTTTTTGCATCCTTTTTTAAATTTGAATTCAATTAATTAATATATAATGTATTATTAGTTTCAGAGGTAGAGTTCAATGATTCAACAGTCTTATATAATACCCAGTGCTCATTATATCACGTGCCCTCCTTAATGCCCATCACCCAATTACCCCATCTCCTCACCCCACCCCCTCCAGTAACCCTGTATGTTTCCTATGATTAAGAGTCTCTCTCTTTTTTTTAAGATTTTATTTATTTATTTGAGAGAGAGAAGGAGAAAGAGAGAGAACATGGGAGGGGGGAGGGTCAGAAAGAGAAGCAGGCCCCCCACCGAACAAGGGACTCGATCCCAGGACTCCAGGATTATGACCTGAGCCAAAGGCAGTTGCCCAACCAACTAACCACCCAGGTGTCCCTGATTTAAGAGTCTCTTACGGTTTGTCTCCCTCTCCAATTTCGTCTTTATTTTTCCCTCCCTTCTCCTACGGTCCTGTTTTTTCCTTAAATTCCACATATGAATGAGATCACATGATAATTGTCTTTCTCTGATTGACTTATTTCACTTAGCATAATACCCTCTAGTTCCACAATGAGATA